TGGAGGTGGTGGTGGTAATGGAGGTGGTGGTGGGTAATGGAGGGTGGTGGTGGTAATGGAGGTGGTGGTGGTAATGGAGGTGGTGGTGGTAATGGGGTGGTGGGTGGTGGTAATGGAGGTGTGGTGGTATGGAGGGTGTGGTAATGGGGTGGTTGGTGGTAATGGAGGTGGTGGGGTGGTAATGGAGGTGGTGGTGGTATGGGGGTGGTGGTGGTGGTAATGGAGGTGGTGGTGGTAATGGAGGTGGTGGTGGTAATGGGGGTGGTGGTAGTGGTAATGGAGGTGGTGGTTAGGGGGGGTGGTGGTGGTAATGGAGGTGGTGGTGGTAATGGGGGTGGGGTGGTGGTGGTAATGGAGGTGGTGGGGTGGTGGGTATGGAGGTGGGTGGTGGGTAATGGGGGTGGTGGGGTGGTGGTTAATGGAGGTGGTGGTGGTGGATGGAGGTGGTGGTGGTAATGGGGGGTGGGGGTGGTGGTGGTAAGGAGGTGGTGGGTGGTAATGGGGGTGGTGGTGGTGGTAATGGAGGTGGTGGTGTAATGGGGTAGGGTGGTGGGTTGGTAATGGAGGGGTGGTGGTAATGGAGGTGGTGGTGGTAATGGGGGGGTGGTTGGGTTGGAATGGAGGTGGTGGTGGTAATGGGGGGGTGGGGTGGTGGTAATGGAGGTGGTGGTGGTAATGGGGGGTGTGGTGGAGGAATGGGGTGGTGGTGGTAATGGGGGTGGGTAGGGTGGGTGGGTGGTGGTAATGGAGGGTGGTGGTGGTATGGAGGTGGTGGTAATGGAGGTGGTGGTGGGTGGTAAATGGAGGTGGTGGTGGTGGTAATGGAGGTGATGGTGGTGGTAATGGAGGTGGTGGTGGGTAATGGAGGTGGGGTGGTGGGTGGTGGTAATGGAGGTAGTGGTGGTGGTTATGGAGGTGGTGGTGGTAATGGAGGTGGTGGTGGTGGTGGTGGTAATGGAGGCGGTCGTGGTGGTAATGGAGGTGGTGGTGGTGGTAATGGTGATAGTGGTAGTGGTGATGGATACACATATACATATGTATGCCAAACTATATATATATATAAATATATATATATATATAATATATATATATTATATATAATATATATATATATATATAATATATATATATATATATATATATATATATAATATATATATATATATATATATAATATATAAAATTACATACAAACAATGCGCATATATATACACATAAATATGCAAGTGTACATGCATATATACATGTAAACATATGCCATGTAAAAGCAGACCCATGCATTCATAAGCACTTACATGTACAAAAAATACATACACGCATACATTCTCACACAGACTCACACATTCTCACACATTCTCACACATTCTCACACATTCTCACACATTCTCACACATTCTCACACAGACTCAGACAGACTCAGACAGACTCACACAGACTCAGACAGACTCAGACAGGCTCAGACAGACTCAGACAGACTCAGACAGACTCACACAGACTCAGACGAGTCACAGGGACGTTAGGAAGTATTTCTTCAGTCATAGAGTCGTCAGGAAGTGGAATAGCCTAGCAAGTGAAGTAGTGGAGGCAGGAACCATACATAGTTTTAAGAAGAGGTGTGACAAAGCTCAGGAAGCAGAGAGGGAGAGGACCTAGTAGCGATCAGTGAAGAGGCGAGTATATGCAAGTGTAGAAAATGCATGCATGTATTAATATGCAAATTTATACATCTACACACATACATACATACATATTCACAAGCATATATATGCACATGTACACATACATATTAACACATACACCCGTACTTATATACATATGCATAAATGTACATCTGCATACGTATACATATAAAAATTACATACTTAAATTCACAAATAAACATATGCATATATACGCACACAAATACACGCGTGTATACACATAAAAGTACATATACGTACAGAAATTCATATGCATACACGTATACATATTTTTGTATTTTGCTGCATGGGACTCTTATGACCACCCGAAAATATTTTTATTACCAGCAGTGAGGTAGAAGAGGCTGGGCTTGTGAAATAAGGGATGCATTTTATCGGATCGCGCAGCGACCGACATACAGGTACTGCGGAGGGTCGAATATCCCTAGTCCTTACGCTGAAGAACCTGCGAGGTTTAGCGCTCACATAAAACATCACGAATAAGCTGGCCGAGAATTAATGGTGAAGAAGGTTGTGTTGGAACATCTGGCTAGGGTCGAACCGAGGTAATGGTGAAGAAGGTTGTGTTGGAACATCTGGCTAGGGTCGAACCGAGGTAATGGTGAAGAAGGTTGTGTTGGAACATCTGGCTAGGGTCGAACCGAGGTAATGGTGAAGAAGGTTGTGTTGGAACATCTGGCTAGGGTCGAACCGAGGTAATGGTGAAGAAGGTTGTGTTGGAACATCTGGCTAGGTCGAACCGAGTAATGGTGAAGAAGGTTGTGTTGGAACATCTGGCTAGGGTCGAACCGAGGTAATGGTGAAGAAGGTTGTGTTGGAACATCTGGCTAGGGTCGAACCGAGGTAATGGTGAAGAAGGTTGTGTTGGAACATCTGGCTAGGGTCGAACCGAGGTAATGGTGAAGAAGGTTGTGTTGGAACATCTGGCTAGGGTCGAACCGAGGTAATGGTGAAGAAGGTTGTGTTGGAACATCTGGCTAGGGTCGAACCGAGTAATGGTGAAGAAGGTTGTGTTGGAACATCTGGCTAGGGTCGAACCGAGGTAATGGTGAAGAAGGTTGTGTTGGAACATCTGGCTAGGGTCGAACCGAGGTAATGGTGTAGTAGGTTGTGTTGGAACACCGGGCTAGGGTCGAACCGAGGTAATGGTGAAGATTGTGTTGGAACATCTGGCTAGAATCGAACCGAGGTAATGGCGTAATAGGTTGTGTTGGAACATCTGGCTAGACTCGAATCGAGGTAATGGTGTAGTAGGTTGTGTTGGAACATCTGGCCAATGTCGAACCGAGGTAATGGTGTAGTAGGTTGTGCTGGAACATCTGGCTAGGGTCGAACCGAGGTAATGGTATAGTAGGTTGTGTTGGAACATCTGGCTAGGGTCGAACCGAGGTAATGGTGTAGTGTAGTAGGTTGTGTTGGAACATCTGGCTAGGGTCGAAAACCGAATGATTTCAAAATGAAGCCTCGTCACTGATCAAGGACTTGGTTAGCTATATATACTTTTCCCTGTAGCAGATTTCGATATATTTTTCCTCCCAGTGTTGTATGCTTGAAGATTACTTTTTACCTCTCGTGTTATATTTTGATATTTTTTCACTTCTAATGGTATATTTTCAGATACTTTTACCCCCTCTGGTTGTATAAAATTTAATATACATTTTACTTTGCCTGTGATATATTCTGATATATTTTTACCTCCCTTTGTGGTATATTTTGAGATATATTTCCCTCCCCGTATATTTTTTATTGATAACACGGGCTTGTAGTTGAGTTAGAGGAAGCCTCATCCAGACTTGTCACTCCTGGCCCGAGATACAGCATCAATTTAGAGATGTCTCTTGTAAGTTAAATTCATTTTTTGTTTTCATAAACGAGAGGTGGCAGACACGAAGCTAAAGAAAGGAACAAATGTTTTTTATAATGACTGGAAAACGCCGAAGGCAAGTAATGACAGGAGATTTGGTAAGAAAAAACAAACAGTAAATAAATTATTGTTGCTGAATGGGGAAATAAGTTGCGTTGAACCAGGGGGTACAAGAGAAAAAATATGTATTTTAGAGAAGATGGAGAAAAATGAATAGTGGAGTGTAATGGAAAATGAGTCGAGAAGATGGAGGAAAATAAGTGGAGAGGAATCAACGTTTTGAAAACTAAACAGCATAATAAAGGAAGCTATGAAAGATAGATTGTATACATTTTGCCTCAAGGGGCGAGCTTGTAGGAAGCTGCATTCATTCTGCGAGTGAATATACCACCATAATGATAGGACGTAACATACCACCATAATGATAGGACGTAATATACCACCATAATGATTGGACGTAATATACCACCATAATGATAGGACGTAACATACCACCATAATGATAGGACGTAACATACCACCATAATGATAGGACGTAACATACCACCATAATGATAGGACGTAACATACCACCATAATGATAGGACGTAACATACCACCATAATGATAGGACGTAACATACCACCATAATGATAGGACGTAATATACCACCATAATGATAGGACGTAACATACCACCATAATGATAGGACGTAACATACCACCATAATGATAGGACGTAACATACCACCATAATGATAGGACGTAACATACCACCATAATGATAGGACGTAACATACCACCATAATGATAGGACGTAACAAACCACCATAATGATAGGACGTAACATACCACCATAATGATAGGACGTAACATACCACCATAATGATAGGACGTAACATACCACCATAATGATAGGACGTAACATACCACCATAATGATAGGACGTAACATACCACCATAATGATAGGACGTAACATACCACCATAATGATAGGACGTAACATACCACCATAATGATAGGACGTAACATACCACCATAATGATAGGACGTAACATACCACCATAATGATAGGACGTAACATACCACCATAATGATAGGACGTAACATACCACCATAATGATAGGACGTAACATACCACCATAATGATAGGACGTAACATACCACCATAATAGGACGTAACATACCACCATAATGATAGGACGTAACATACCACCATAATGATAGGACGTAACATACCACCATAATGATAGGACGTAACATACCACCATAATGATAGGATATAATATCACGCTGAATGGTTGGTACGTTGTTGGCGATAACAACTCACAAATATAAAACAAAATCTGAATTGTTGTTGAAGGTGATATTATAGAGGTTCAAACAGGATAATGTATGATGAGAATGACGCGAAGCTGGATGGTGTATGATCCCATGGGTAATAAATCTAATACTAACCTTGCGATGTCTCCTCGGTGTCCTGTGGGTGGGTGTACTTTCTGCTGGTGCCCTGGGCATTGGTCTGCTGCTGGGGGCGGAGCTGCTGGCTGCTGGCGCCTTGAAGGGTATGGTGGCAACTAGTGCGTGTGGAAGATGTGTTCTGCCCTTGCTCTGAAGGGTCTGGGGGTTGAGTTGGTCTATTGGAGGCGTGATGGTCTCCTGAGTCTCTTTTACGGAGGTTGTGGGCGTGGCTCGAGGGGCGGCCTACCCACCCCTCTCCTCGCGCCTCTTCCTCTTGTTCCACAATGGTGGAAACTTTCTCTAAGGAGTTCTTACTACGCTGAGCTGTCTTTGGGACATCAGCTGACCGCACGGGAGAAACTTCCTCATCGCCGTTTAGGTAAGAGTGTCTCTTAGAGAGAGTAGGTGAGGCTGAAGGTGATACTACGTCATGATGTTCCAATTGGTAGGAGCAAGAAGAGGGACTGGGCGAGATTAAAGGTGACACACAGGATGATGTGTCAGATGAGACACTGCTTGAACTGCTGCCACCGTCCCTCCACCCACACGCAAGTTTCTGTTCTTCATAATTCCTCGACATGTCTTTTGAATATATACGGGAACTTCTCGATGCTTTGCTTTCATTATCTGAAGAATATGGGCTGGATTCCTTGCTACGTGCACCTCCCCCTCTCACGATAGTCTGACTGGCCAAGGGCCTTGATATCTTTGTCTTGTGTGTACTGGCGGGACTCTCCGGACCGTCCGGATGCTTGTAAGTTCGTTTATTATATTTCCATTCCTGGGTGTCCTGGCGGGTTATACAGCTGGTGTCTGCCTTACCCTTATTTTCTTTGTTGTGTTTGCGGCCGAAAGTCGGCAGTCTGCTGCGTAATCGCTTTTTATCTTGATTTGTTTGCTGTTTGTTTTTATTTTCTGTCACCTTTTCTTCTTTTGAGCCAAAGGCTGCGAATTCTAGAAAGTTGAAGTCTGGCGCTCGTTTTATTGTATTATATTTCCATGACTCTGAGAGCCAAAGAGTGGAATCATCAGAATCACAGCCAGGGAGAGAGTTCACTGGGTCTGTGGCAGCCTCCATCTCTCTCTCCATCATGTCAACATCTTGGCCTACCTCATCCCTCTCGTTACGGCCGGGCCGCAAATTTTCGTAAATCATCTCATTTTCAGTTTGCAATGTACGTGGAAAGTTTTCATATATAGGAATATGTGAGGTGATAGGTTTAGAGTGGTAGCCTTTGAAGGTTGTGGTGGCGGGGAGAGTTGCTGTGCTCAGTTGAGTCTCTTCAGGCGACAGATTCTGCTTCAGTAGCCTAGGTGGGTGGAAGAGGAACTTTTATTCTTCTTTGCCAGGTGAAAATATCAAACATAAAGCTGTTTATCAAGGCATTCCTATAGCTCTAGGGTTCAGCAAAAATTACTTTTATTCTTTATAGAAGGAATATATTTACCTTCTCTGGTTAGAGGCGTTCATATCATTAATCTTGTGATTTAGTGCGTTGTTTCTTGGAAGTGGCAATGGTCCCCTGATTCTATTGGAGTCTCGAGTTGCCCCGTTTACTGCCTGTTTATCCAGGGGCGACGTAGGTGAGGTGCGCACTGCAGGCAGGTGCTTGGTAGGTCGTCCGTTGCTCGTTGTATTTTTCTGGTCTCTGGAGGTCTTGAGGGGGATGGTGTGAAGTGTGGGGGTGGGGGAACGATTGGATCTGAGAGGTCTGGTGCCTACGTACCTGCCGGACTCTGTGGTAGCTAATGCCAGGGTGGTCCTCGAGGCGTGCTCACTCTTGTCCTCGCAAGATTTCCCCGATATTCCTTTGTTCTTGCTTGTCCTTGAGAGCGGCCGGGGGATTCCCGACTGCTCGTTGGTGGCTGCTGTAAGCTTATCCACTGAGGCTGGTTCCTGTGTGTCCTTGGGCTGCGTCGTGACAGTGGAGGAAGTGTCGAAACAGCTGGGAGTCCTGGCAGCCCGCCTCAAGCGGCCCACCCTGCTGAAGGCACCATCACCCGCACGGACACACCACCATGCTCAACACCTTACACTCACTACTCTTCTCTCCTGGATGAATGTTTACCCACTATACCTTTCACAATTTCTCGGCGACTCGTACTTCAAGCCATGAAAAATACATTAAGTAAATCACTTAAGAATCTGAGTACTCGAGGTGCGATACGGTACAGGTGTCGCAATGCGAGCAGAGAAGGAGAGCGAGACTGAGTAGGCAGCTCGCGGGGAGTAAGTTTATATGCTGGCGAGCTCGCGGGAATCACGTGGAGGCGAAGGTAACACGCAGACTCCTGCTGGGGCTGTCACCGACCCGCTCAGATAACTACCATCCTCTACCACTTCTACCTAACTAATATCTCAGCCACTCATTCCTCAACAAGTTTGGCCCACAACAACTATGAAGCTGGATATATAAATCAATGAAGTATGAAAGCTGTTTTGGAGAACGGAAGGAATAAAAAATTTGTGGGTTGAGGTGTTGGAAGGGGAGGCGAAGGGCCCCCCAGCGGTCGATAGCGGCACGGAAAACAGAATGATGTCATAGGGAACCCCGCCTTTCCCAATGCTTTTTGTTCATTCGGGAATTCAACAGCTCTCCCCCATTCACTTTTCTTAAATGTCATGCTTAAACTTACTACCATCACCATCTCTAAGCAAAAAAAATGCAATTTTCCTGGGAAGGGGGGGAAACGCGTGCAGAAGGGCAATGAAAAACCGGGGAGGGAGGGAGAGAGAGAGAGAGAGGGGAGAGGAGAAAAGGGGAAAGAGAGAGAGAGGGGGAGGGAGGGGGGAGGGAGGGGGATGCGGCAGGCAGATGAAGTGTTGGGTAAGTCCCTACATAGGGGGAAGGCCCGTATGGCCTGAGCACGGGGGTTTCCCCTTGTTTAAACCCTCAACACATGACCACCCCCTTCGATTAGGGCCCCCCGGGGAAAGTTGCTAAACCTTTGTTAACTCCTGGTAAATCTCGCCCCTACGTTCTTAATTCCCTTGTTCTTTCTCTTACGATAGAGAACAAAAGGTAAAAAAAGGGCTAAGGTAATTTTTTGTCTTTACAAAAATTTTTGCAACCCCACTAAACCCAACTTTTTTATTGAATAAGAAACTTTTTTTTTGAGTTTGATTCCTTACTGTACCGAGTTCAACTATAGAAAAAACTCAAAAACAATGTAGGGTAATTAAACATTTTTTTAGACTTATTCCTTAAATCAAATCAAAATATTTTTTTCCCACGTAAAGGAAATAAATATTTTAATTTGTGTGGTTCACATTTTAAAAAATTTTAAATTAAAAAGAAGGTCATAGAAACCTAGGCATGTATTTTAATTTTACTCGAAAGCAAATATTCCTTTTATGATGTAACACTGATGAGGTCGGCAAAGACCCATTGTGACCCAGTAATCCTTGTTTGAACACCACCGCCAAAGGGATGAGCTGAGGCCCCACAGAAAACTAAAAACACTCACGCTCACAATAAAAACTTCAATTCAAAAAAGGTATCCCCCTCTTAAAAGAAAGGTTCCCCCCTTTTAAAAAGAATCCCCCTCTGAAAAAAAGGGTCCCCCCCCTCTAAAAGGGAAGGTTTTTTTTTTGGGGTATTTGGGGTTTTTTTTTTTTTTTGGGGGGGGGTTTCCCCTTTTTTTGGGGTTTTTTTTTTTTTTTTTTTTTTTTTTTTTTGGGGGTTTTTTTTAAAAAAATTTTTCCTCTGAAAGAAATTACCCCCTCTCCTAAAGGAAGCCAAATGACCTACGGGGTCAATAAAATTTTATGAAATTTTTTGGACTCGCACCCTCGGAAAAGTAAAAAAAAAGAACGTGAGGAAAAATATTTGGGGCAGTAACTTTTTGCATGACTAGTTGAGAATGGACACTTGTCAACATTTAAAAAGTTGAAGAGAGACATTGTGCAACATTTAGACAAGTTGAAGAATAGACACTTGGAAAATTTGGGGCCCAATCTAAGATTGAGAATTGTGCAACATTTGGACAAGTAAAGATTGAACATTTGGCAACATTTGAATCTCATAAAGTTTCCCCCAGATGTTGATAGATGTCTCATTGTTCGACAAATTTTAGAATTCCCCCGAGATGTTGGAGTTTTCCACTGCTCACCCCCATCTTTTTTAAAGCACAAATAGGAGCTCTATTTTAACAAATACACAAAGTAAAAAAACACATTAAAAGGTACAAGTTGTTTGGAGTATAAATAAAAAAAGTTTGGATATGAATTACAGACACAAGGGGTTTACGTGTCCCACCTCTTTGGGGGCTGTGGAAAAAAAAACATTTTTTGCGCAATATAGGCTTCGTATAGCCTTTTTTTAGCGCTTATTTTTTTAAAAATAATAATAATATGACTCTTAATTTTGTTATTTTTTTGATATTTAAAAAAAATCAAAATTTAGGGGCACACTGTGGGCAATTTTGCTTTTTTTTTTAAATTGTTTGTTTATCAGCCCTTAAACGAATCTTGTCTGTTTGTTTTATTACATGATGCCATTTCCCTTTAAAAATTGTTTTTAAAATATTCTAACTTCTTTTTCCGACCCTTTTTCCCAAATCCTCGTCTTCCCCCTCGTCTGATTTCCCCTTTTTTTTAAACCTTTTGGGTTTCCTGCAGAGCCAGGACCCCCCTGCAGGTGTTTTTTTCCCGGGAACTGGTTATGTTATATACTTCACTCTCCATCACTTTAAATGTAATTTACGTTTGTTCCGTATCGGGATTCGCTGGTGGACCCGTGGGACTCGGGATGTTTCTTCTTTTTTTATTGTGTCTAATATATGCTACACTACATTAAACCACCACCATTTTAAATAACACCACTACTACTTCTGTTTTTTAAAACCACCACTACTAATACATTATACCCCCACTACAAATACTATTTACCATATATACTCTACTACTACCCCTTTCCCTTTCCCGGCTTTCTTTGGTATTTTTGCCGGTTGTTGTTCAAAACAGTGACCACACTCCCTTTAGGTCCACGTTGTTTCTTTCCGTTTTGGGCCCCTTTTCTCCCTCCTTCCCCCCCTTCCTTCTCCCTTTTCCCTTTCCCTTTCCCCCTTCCTTCCCCTTTTCCCCTTCCTTTTTTCCTTTCCTTTCCCCCTTCCTTCCTTCCCCCTTCCTTCCCCCTTCTTCCTCCCTTCCTTCTTTTCCCCTTCCCCCCCTTCCCTTTCCCCCCTTTTTCCTTCCTCCCTTTCCTTTTTTCTCCCCCCCCCTTTCCCTTTCCTTTTTTCCCCTTCCCCCCTTCCTCCCCTTTTCCTCTTTTTTCCCCCTTCCTTTTCCCCCCTTCCTTCCCCCCTCCCCCCCCCTTCCTTCCCTTCCCTTTTCCCTTCCTTCCTTCCTTTTCCTTTCCTCTTCCTCCCCTTCCCCCTCCATTCCCTTTTTGTCCCCCCCTTTTTTTCCCTTTCCCTTTCCCCCTCCCTTTCTTCCTTCCCCCTTCCTTCCTTCGTTCTCCCTTCGTTCCTTCCTCCCCCCGTTCCTCCTCCCTTCGTTCCTCCTCCCTTCTTTCCTTTTCCTTCCTTCCTCCCTTCCCCCTCCCTTTTTTCCCTTTCTCCTTTTTTTCCTCCCTTCCTTCCTTCCTTCCTTTTCCCTTCCTTTCCCTTTTCCTTCCCCTTTCTTCCTTCCTTTTCCTTCCTCCCTTCCTCCCCCCCCTTCCTCCCCTCCCCTTTCCTTTCCCCCCTTCCTTCCTCCCTTTCCCCTCCCTTTCCCCTTCCCTTTCCTCCTCCCCTTCCCTTCCTCCCTTTCCTTCCTTCCCTTTCCCTTTCCCCCTTTCCTTTCCCTTCTTCCTTTTCCTTCCCTTCCCCCCCTTCCTCCTTCCTCCCTTCCCCCCTCCTCCCTTCCTTCCCCCTCCTTCCTTCCTCCCTCTTTCCCCCCCCCCCTTTCCCTTCCTTTCCCTTTTCCCCTTTTTCCTTCCTCCCCTTTCCCCTTTTCCCCCTTAAAGTTTTCACCCCTACCGGGATCGATCCCCCAATCATAATGTGTAGCCTGGCAACCTAGAGTTTCAAGCAGGCAAGGAAACCGGCGCGACCTGGCAAACTCCCTTCTGCCAGGCAAGCAAGTGGCAAAACCCCGCCAAGTCCCGCGATACAGGGGTAATAGAGTAGTGCTTTACTTACAGGTGTGTAAAAAGAAGACGCATTAGCCAAACTCTG